GCAGCAGCAGCAGCAGCAGCAGCAGCAAGGTGGAGATCTGCGACGGGCGCGGCGCGGTTGCAGCTTGGGTTGCGGTTGGCGTGGGGGGCAGCGAGAAAAGGGAAAGCGAATTTAGACGCACGCCGCGGCAGGCTGGAGCATCTGCGAAGGAATTGGTTCGGAGGGGCCAGAATCGCCAGAGCATCCAGGCGCAGCTCGGCGCGGCGGACGCACGATAGCGGCAATCAAGGCAGCGAGTGAGGCCCTTGGAGGTCTTGGCTGCGTCGGATGGGCACTGGCCAACATGTGGGAGGGCTCGGCTGCTCACCCACGCTGCTTTGGTCGGCCAAGTTTGAGCTCGATCGGAACCGGTGCAGCCCAGCTAGCCGTGCTCGCAAGTGATCCTGCGGACTTCGATTTCGCGTGTCCAGCTTCCAAGCACCGCCCGAGCCCAGCCACGGGCTCGACGTCGGCCGCTCCGACGGGCGCAACTCGGCCAGTCGATTCTGCACGGCCTCTCTCACCGCCCGATATCACTGTCAGTCGGCTGGTCAAAGCTTGCGACCGATGGCCTGAGTTGTCCAAGGCGCAGTGGGTGGGCGTGTGGGTGTTTGACCAATTTAGGGACCGCCATGCAGGCATCCGAATCTCAGGTGGAAGACGGCGCTCCGAACCGTAATCGTGCAGCTCCCGAGGGTGCGGATTTTTCCGGAGGTGTGAGATCACGGCATGCTGCCGCCTTCGCGTTGACCAAAATGGGCTGCAGCTCCCAAACCCGGATCGGCTGATCCGGCCCGATGTATCAAACGCACAGGCTTGCAGGGCAGCCTTGTGGGATCGCAACACACTCGGTCTTGCACAAACGGAGCGAAAGGGCGAGTGTGCCTCTGGCGCCTGAGCACCACCGTGCGGTACCGGTAAAGCAGCGGCGACAATTTCGTGGGCTCACATGGCAGAGACGCTTCGATCTGCCGTTGGCGCGGAATTGCATCAAGCTCAGGAAACACGGCGGTCGTCGCTTCCACGCTTTCTTTTTCGGCAACTGTGGCCAAATTTCCATCCGCAGAAGGCGGCTGCGTGGAATTGGGTTTTGGTTAGCCGGCAGCTGGCTGCCCGGGTCCAGCAGGGCAAAAGACCGCACCACACCAGCGGGCAAATTTTCCCTCCTGCCTCGGCAGTCCGGCAGCGCGCAACTCAGCCGCGCTATGCGATTCTAGCTTTTTCGCTCGACCCGATACTGGCCGCCTCGACCCCACCACCTCGCCCCCCTTCCACCACAATCCGTTTCTTCATTGACAGCGTCGACAGCATGGACGAAGAACTGGTCGATGATCGACCCAGGATTCGCAACTCCCAAGCCTGCCTCGAGTAAGTATCACAATGCCCGCACTGCGACGTGCACTCTTCACGGCCTGCGCCTGAGCCGTCAGTCCAGCCTCGCGGCAATGCAAACGCCACTCCACCCTTGGCCGCCATCGCCGTCTTCCCCCTCCGCCGTCGCAGGCCTCGATCCGCTGACACGCTCTGCTCTTTTGCCATCACACGCCTGACGTGCCACTTTCCCGCCCTTCTCCTGCCCCTGGCGACCCTTGCGCCGTCCCTCTGGCCTACCCGAATCTTTGCCCTGTCTTTATCGTCTCCTCGGTACTCTTCGTCTCTACACAGGTGCAGAAAAGCCAAGATCAAATGCAACGGCAAGCGCAAAGACGCGCAGAACTGTTCCCGATGCGAAGCCAAGGGGCTGGATTGCTCTTGGACAGCCTCACGCCGCGGAAAGAAGCCTGGCACCAAAAAGTACGTACAGCCTCCTGAACATCCGGTGCCGTTGCAGACCTTCCGGGCATCAGCATGCTGACCTCACTGCGCTCCTTCAATGCTTCTGCCCCCCCTCTCTCTCTCCCTCCAAATAGTCTGGCTACGCGTGCGCGCGAACAGTCCGAAGCCCTCCAACGTCAGCTCGAGCACCAGCTCCACACCAAGGTCGATCGAAGCTCGCCTCCTGCGTACGACTCTCAACCCAGCCTTTATCGACAAGCGTGGGATTCGGCAAGCCAGCCGCGCGCGTCGACCTCCTATCCTCCGCACCCTGCCCAGACGGAACAGCGCCTGATGCATCGCCACGGTTCCGATGCAAGCAACCACCAGTCACCTCAAAGCACAGCCACAGCCTCGTCGTCGTCCGGCTCGCATCTCTCGTCGTCTGTGCCCACCGCCATGTCTTCGAATGGTCACAACGGCAGTCACACGAGCAACTTCAGCGGCAACAGCAGTCGACGTACTTCCAAGTACCACGACGGCCTCCTCATCCGCGAATCACGCATGCCGCCTTCTTCCACCAATCCGCTCCTCTGTCTTTCTGAGGCCGCGCTCGGCAAACGCTGCACTGAATCCGACAGCGAGGAAGACGAGCTCGCGGCCGACAACGAGCCAGCCGAAGCAGACGCTCAGCTTCTGGGAGACCAGAAGGACGGCAAGAAACGCTCGGCTCTCCACCCGTATGTGGACGACTTGGCCAACGAGGAGGATGACGCCCAGGCCAAGTCGGCGCGCGACATTGCAAGCATGCTCGAGAGCAGTGGCTGGACTCGCTCGTGCCTTGCCCATGCTGCGTGCGAACGTGCTTCGTACTTTTCCGGCGCATCCGCATCAGCCAGCTGGGATACGCGCCGATGCGATCCTTTGGAGCAGGGCATTGTGACGATGGACGAAGCACGTCGCCTGTTCCAGCTCTTTATGGACACGGTTCACGAGCAGTTCTGCATCCTCGACCCCGTCATCCACAACGTCGCCACCATCAAGGAATCCTCCAACTTCCTGTTTTCAGTCATTTTGGCCATCGCCACTTCCATCGATCGCAGTCCCCGCTCGATCCGGCAATTCGAGCTGTTGCGCAAGCTGGTCGACTCGCTCGTGGTCGAAGTGCTCAGCCGCAACGTCAAGAGCGTCGAGGTCGTCAAGGGCCTCATCGTGTGGCCCATGTGGGCGCATCTCACCCCCTTGATGGCCGAGGATCGAGCGTGGCTGCTCATCGGAACGGCGGCACGAATGGCCAAGGAGTTGGATCTCGCCATGCGCGACGACGTGTCGCAGGAAGACGAGCTCGCCCGTCGTCACGCCCGTGATCGCTCCAGGACATGGGCACTAGCTGCCATCATGGAGCGAAGCTTCTCGTCCTTCTCGGGCCAGCGTCCCAACACCACGCTCGACGTGGACTGGGGTACGCTCAACGATTGGCTCAAATCGCCCATCTCGCTCGACGGCGATATTCAGATCGTGGCGTTCCTGCATCTGCGCCGTATCGAGGAGATCATGCGGACGCGCATCTTCAGTCAGAGCTACTACGAGGTCGGCTCGATCGAGAGCATTCGCGTCTCTGCCAACGTGCTTCTCGAGGCGTGGTCCGAGGCCTGGTGCGAGCATCCGGCGCTGGATAAGCACCCGCTCACCTCGACCATCATGCGCATCATCGGACTGCACGTGCGCGTGCTCATCAACACGCATGCCATTCGCGAGTCTGACCGCAGAAGGGCGATCTGCGAATCGTCCAACATGCGCATCCTCCGCGTCTGCGGCGAATCGGTCAAAGCGGCGCGCGAATGCTGCGTGATGCTCTTGAAGGACGCGTGTCGACTGGCGCTTGACAATTTGCAAGGCCAGGCGCACACCGTTAGTAGGATCGTGGCAGCCATGCTGGGTTGGTCAGGCGTGCATTTGCTCAAGAACGGACCGATCGATACTCGTGGCCTGGTGGTGCAGTTGGGCCTGCTGCTGGCCGGCGACCCGCTGGACTCTGCCCATTCGCGCTCCTTTGCGCGCTTCTACGGTCGCTTCATCCTCTCCCTCAGCGCCGAGCTGGTGGAGCGGGATCGGGCCGAAAAGCACCGCAGGAAGCGCCAGCGACTGCGAGGATCGTCTCACATGTCGACAGGCTCTAGCGGCGTAGGCATCGCGAGCCCGCGCGGCGAAGCAAGCAACATGGCTCGCGGCAACACGGCAGGAGGCGCTGTGGCCAGCCATGATGCAGGCAAGGCTGTCGTAGCTCCCGGCCTAGGCACCTCCGTGCCAGCCGCCGCGATGAGTGACATGGCATTCGCTTTCGAGTCTGCGGCCCAGAGCGGGCTGCAGACGCCAGGCATGATGGGACGACCGGCAATGGTGAGCCATCCAGGTGCTGCCGCAAGCTCCATGTCGCCATCCGTTTCCAACGCAGCTGGTCAGTCGCATGCATACATGCCGGCGGCTGGCACTGGCGCCGCCGGCTCGACGAACAACATGGCAGGCATGTTGAGTGGCGGCAGCGGTGCTGGAGGTACGTCGCCATTCTCGTCGGCGTACCGTTCAGCGACCGTGCCGTCGTCCATGGCAAGCAACGGCGCCTCGGGATTGGATCCGGTGACGAGCACCTGGCTGGGCACAGACGACCTGCTGGATCAGTACATGCAGAGCATCCTGCCCATCTTCAACGACTTTGATCATGCCACCAACAACACCATGATGAACAGCATTGGCGGCGGCGGCGGCGTCGGGGTGCCCATCTCGGAAGTAGGACGTTAGCATTCCGCAAGCGCATCCCTATCAACCCCGTGCCTTTATGTCCGACATTGATCGTGCCTGCTCCAGCTTCGGCCGAAAGCCTTCGGTCTTGCTGTTGTTATACCCGGCTGTGCGTGGCAATACGAGTCAGGCTCACTATCTCAAATGCAGATCAAATGTCTCTTTCTGTCCGTCGTATACGCAAAGACTGTTTCACTGAAATCGTCAACGGGAGCCGTGCATGGCGTGGTGAGGTGCCGCCAAATGTCACAGCAACGCACGAGCCAACCCCCTGCTCTGCGGCCGTCAGGGCGGACAGAGCGGGGAGCCGACTGGCGTGTTTTCATATGCTTTTTCAGGATTTTTTTTTTTTTTTT